TTTGCTTCTTTTTCTTATTTCGGGGCTTAAGTTCGTTTTCTTTGTTAGACTAGATTAAAAAATAACAATAACAATAATAATAATAAGTACGATGGTATTTTACAAGTAATAACAAACGTAAATTTCCCTAAAATAATGCAGGCACGTAACCGATCCCTCCTTCAGGACCGGTAGTCCTTATTTGCGGAAACTTCATTAGGCTATATTCTTTGAGGGGCCAGGATGGCCATACAATTGACGGAATCATCCTTGGGAAGATCTCACAAAGAACGCTAGTTCTTTGTGGGGCCAGAACAACCATATGGAGCAAACGGAATCACTCTTACAACTTATTTTATACGCACAACCTTTTCACTGCACCAAATAAGTTGTTCGAGTGACCTCATCAAAGAAGTCCCAAAGGAAAAGGTGCTTATTAATACTATAAAATACTTACTTCGTTGGTTGCGAAGAAGGATCAAAACCGCATGAAGCAAGTGGTAACAATGAAGAATTAAAACCGCGTGATGAAAATGGTAACGATGAAGGATCAAGGCCATATGACAAAAGTAATAACGCTGAAGGATCAAAGTCGCGTGAAAAACAAAAGGCCAGCTGCAATAGTCGTTTTATTTTTTCATTAAAAAATGATACTATACTTCCATTTTAAATGGTGTGGCAAATCCACAATATGGTCCAACTTTCGGCGGCTGTCATAATATTTGGATGGAGAATAACTAATCAAGTAAGATGTTATTCGCAACATCAATCGTATGTAGATAACAATGAAGGATCGAACGATATGGTGGTCGAAGACAACAGTAATGACGGGGTTGTTTCGAAGACGTGTCCTCTTACATCAATTTAACCGAACTTGATGATCTCCCCCAAATAAAAAAAAGTATCAGCATTAAAATTTTCAAGCTTATTAAAAAAATGGAGACCGATAAGTTCTATGCTATATTAAAAACCATCAATATAAAGGAAGCCGATAAGTTAAAGATGGTGGAAAGTGTAATTAAACGAGAAGAAGAAAAGAGGGCTATAGTGGAGTCTAATCAAACGGTTCTTTAGGAAGCGAACGTACATAAACAATCTATATCGCGCTTAGAAAGTACTTGCAGCGTAAGGGAGCCCTGGAGTACGCTTGTTCCAAGGTAAAGATTTCACATACTTTTTTTTAACAAATGACAAAATACTCTTCCATTGATATGTCAATTTTTTTATATATTGTCTGTCGTTAAATTTTAAAATTCTTCTTTATTTCTCCATGATAGATCTTACCAAATAACAATAAACTTTCAGTTTTCGAAGAACCCGTCGATAAAGCGTTGTTACGCCTCGCTCAAGATAATAAATTCATGGACATCCTCAAAACAACTTGTGAGGAAAATCATGTTCGATATTTCGATGTAAGG